CTACTAGTACTTAGTACTAAATCGTAAAACAATACGGATATGATTCATATTTATGCACTTGTTTCTACTCATGAAATATCTATCATATTTCGTTGTATTTGCCATGCCTACTACTAAATTTCCTGGTGTCCACCTGAGGGATCCGAGACCTTCATAAAGACATGTTTAAAAATACATATACATCGTTTTAAGGGGCTAAGCGCGCCCTGGAAAATAATTTTAAATACTCCAATGAGGAAGAGAAGCGAATGGATTTAGTACCGACGGCGTTATTATTACGATATACGAATACAATAAAACACCGTGAACATTTAACACAATGCAAACATTCTATGCCGTGACCACACGGCATAAGAACCACCAATATACCACTCTTTGTTTCCTGTGGGTATCGTAAAAGGTGACTAAAGGAGCTTAATAGTCGAGGAATAGGCAGCAGCATTCCTCTTAAAACATCACTAAAGCCTTACTGCAATTTCCAACCCACCTGCCAAGCGTGGCAACCATTAGCAGACCCCTCCAATAAGGGGAGGTCTATATCAGTGGACAATTAATGACTGATGTCATCATCATCATCAAACATCGCTCATAATATGCAAGGACTAACAATTAGACATCAAATCATAAAACAGCTAGAGAACAATAATCATTAATCGGTAAATTGAATTTTAAAGGTACAGTTTATAGATCCGCAAAAAACATCCAGTCATCTGACAGCATTTTGCGCGGTAACACATCACTCCTGTCAAAACGTCAGGGTTGCCACAAGCATAACCTACAAAAGTTAATTAGCGTACCGACCTGCCCCAAGCTTTGAACGGGGGCGGATTTGATCGTATCGCACGTGCCTTGCGACATTTACACGTGCTATCCCCATATCCACCCCTTTTCAACCTGCTATCTATACAATTACTCTTATAGATATAGATGATAGTAATTAAGTGTAGTAGACCTATACAGGATAAGGAGATTGTATGAGAATAGCTGTCCAATTGCTAGCAATATACACCGCTAGCTCGATGTTCTCCATGTGGCCCTCCACGTGATTAATTCCAAGTGAATTCATCGCATTAGTTCTACTGACCTGGTTTTATCCTCGCCTGGGTACTGATACTAGTACTCCATCAGCGTATATCAATAGTGCAGACGTGGGCACCATTTAATTCCATAAAAAAATCTCTAGAGTTGAAATAGAAGTTTATCCGAAAATCAATTTCTTTTTTTCATTGATTATCAAGAACATCTTTCATTTAAGTTGACGATATCTATACAAAGAGGTATAATTTGTGAGTTTGGATGTTCGGGGTAATCTCCGGTACTACTGATCCGATTTTGAAAATTCCACACAGAAAGGAATATATTTTTTTTTTATACAACGTAGAATGGCAAACAAGCTGATGGCCCACCTGATGGAAAGTGGTAACCGTCGCCTATAGACATGAGCAGTACCATGGACATAACAGAGTATACTGTTTCGCACATGTTACCCCCCATGCGTTGCCATTCCTGAGGACTAAGGTGTTATTCCTCTGTAGCCAGTAAATTCACGCCATATCCCAGCCTTCAAACCGAAACACAGCCATGCAAACACAACTGCTTCACGGTTGAAACACGAATGGGACAGAGGTACCCAAGCAATCGACTTTTGTACAAAGTCTCCCTCTGGTATCTATATTATCCCTGAGTACTATAAACTACTTTTTATTATATATATTACCAATAATTATTCATAATAAATGAAATCAGCAAAAATTATATAATGTGGCATGACCTGCCTAAACGATTTGAAATAAAGGAATAAAATCTATAGCAAAAATATTCATTAGTTTTAGTTTTACAAAAATGTCCGCGATACCATATACATATCTAAGTTCAATATCTCAGTCAAAAAAAATGAATTTTATGTTAAAATTAAAATAAACTTTACAAGCCGGTCATTTTAAAATATTAGTACAATACTTTTACGCACGCCAAAATACCAGGTTTACTAAAATGTTATGAGCAATTTAAAAGTTGCACAAATAAATATTGCACCCGTGCGACGCCGTGGTGGTTCGCTAGTCGTATATAAATATATTAAATAGGTCTGTTTCAACAAAACATAACGAAAAGATAACGAAATTTATTATTAGTTTATTGCTTGTTTTCATTAATATTTATTGAAATAAACTATAGGTATCTATTTCCCAGAAATTTCTTACAATAAAGCAATATTCATTGATCAAATTTATTATTATATATATATCTAAATTTATTACTATAGGATAAACGAGCCCAAATACGAGCGCTACTTCTTACTCCTTCTACGCCTGTACTTGTTTGCCGTAGGTAACTATGATCACAGATTTAAATTTAAATAGATTTAAAAAGAATTTTGTTTTTTTTTTGGCACAGTTGGTGGGATCAATGGTGAAATTTAACTTACTAAGTAAATAATTAGAAAACTAACATGATGATCGATCGAGCCAAATTAGGAAGGCAAACGATCAGATGGTCCACCAGATGGAAAGCGGCTACCATCGCCCATGAATACCTGCAACACGAGAGGAGTTGCCTATGCATAGCCGATCTTATAAATGTTTGTACCTAATTTTTTTTTTAAATTTCCCATATTATGTTATAAAGGGAAAACTGAAGACGAGACTTCATTCCATAATCTAGATGTACGTGATGTGCAGTGGCGTAACTATACCATTTGGAGCCTGTGGCAAATTCTTTTATGGGGCCCTATCAGTAAAAAAAAAAAATACTTTTCAAGTAAAATAAAGTACTCAGGTACAATGAAAAAAAATTTTGAGCTCGCGGCCTATTCAGCCGGGGCCATCTTGGGTCGGGGGCCCGTGGCATTTTGCCAGCCCTGCCACCCTATTGTTACGCCATTGATGATGTGAACTCCAGCTCTATGATAAGAGATACGATGGTAAAAGGATGACGATAGCATCAAGACATTTAATTCTCTGGAATATTTCCCATTGTACAGCCGATACAAAATGGATAAAGACGCAACATGCCGCCTTAAACTCAGAGAATCCAAACCCATCCCGCTTTAAAGTCAGGGAATCCAAACCGTCATTTGCATGAAATCGTCGAGAACTAAAACCACTCGACGTTGTAGAGAATTAAATGGAAAGAGCTGATATAGAGGTGCTCCTGCCCAAAGATGTGAGCAGTACTCCATATGTGAGCGAATTTGGGCTTTGTAAAGTAATAGTCTATGTTAAGGAGTGAAATACTCTTTTGCCTTGTTTAAAACCCCAAGTTAGAGGCCAGTTAGGCTTTCTCTTCAAAGTTACCATGAATTGAACGTATTGTTATTATTAGATTAAAACTCTGTTATATTAGTAAGCATTCTAGATAGCTGATGAGTGACTGGTTGACTGCGATATTGTAAAAACGCATTACCATAATGTTAGCAAGTACAATAGGTACCTACATTGAACAGTCGTTAAAAATAAGGGCAGCACAGAGCGAGTACCTCTAATTATCTACGCTATTTGAACACAGATAATTGTTTGAATTACCGATTGATATAATATTTCGCTTTGATAGTGGTTTCTCATTCGTAAAAACAATTTACTCCTCTTTATAATTTTTCTAAATAAAATATTTTCGTTGAAAGACCGAGTCTGTGCATTATTTTTATTATAGAATTTTTTTAGCAGTGAAGAACACTAATACATTATGTACTCATACATTACGTACGAAATGTATTATTTTTAAAATGAATACTAACTTACCGATTTTGATGATGTTTCACAGGTATCTGTGATCTAAATATACTTTTAAATACATCAAGTGAGCAAAGGAGTAAGAATTAAATATATAGATTCCCTTGGAAATTAAGAGTTTCTTCTTATACTGTTTTTTTCTTTTATTTTAATATATTTAAGTAAATAAATTCACCAAAACGTAACTTTTTGGAGCTATTTAAAACGAGTATTTACACTAGCTAATAAAATTAAAGGAAACTAACTTGTATAGAAAACTAATCATTTTTAGATAATAGTGTTTAGAAAGAAAGAAGAAAACATTTATTGCCAACAACAAAAAGAGTTACATTAATTATCAATAGAAAACAAAAAAAAACTTTACATTTGTTATTGCCAACGTGGCCGCCACTCAGCATGTGCTGCAGCAATTTAATTGGTACAGCACTTACTATTTCTATAGTTCACTATTAATTATATAAATAATGTATGGTACAGGAAAACATAATGAAGGATAAATAATCATACAAACAATTTTATTTGTTAGTAACAGGAAATGTACACGTACCTACATTTTGTTTGTTTTTCTTCTTATACTGCTATTTTTATATATGTAATATACGGACGTTTACGTAGTACTTGTACTAAACAACTGTCAAAATCTAAAATTTATTCATATTTTCAAATCTTCATACTGAATCGTTCACGTGACCAGGTGGATAGTATGGAGATTTAAAAAAATATATTGAGATTTCGAATTTGTTCCTTGGGAAAATTTAATCAGTTTTATGATTCAGTATTATAGTTGATTCACTAGGTTTTGGCTTGACTCTTTATAACTAACTTTGTATAAATAATATCTAATAGAAAAGGACAAAAAGAAAATAGTAATAATAAAACTTTTTTATTAAGTATCATTTATTAAATATTTTGATAATCAATTTTATATGCCAAAAAATTTATAAATTGTACACAAGTTACTTAACCTTATCACGTAATATCACATAGATCTTAAAAATATTAAATTATATGTATAATTATAATAGACAACTTTATAATTTTATACTCAATTTATGCGGCATGTCATGGCATGCCACAATTTTATCGTCACGATTCTCACGATATTACTACAAAGTATTGTTGTTGATTATTATTGACGTGTTCTATTTTTATTTTGTTTTTATTAATAATTTCCAATCTATAAAGATAAATTTATTATATTAGTTGTAATTGTCGGCAATTAGTGCAACTTTAAACACATATTAATATAAAAATACGATATTTTTTTTAATAAAATCAAAATAGGCTAAATTTATTTTCTGTTAAACGATGACGTGATTTTATCATATACAGAATATTAAAATTATCTTTATACAATTGCATTTATTGTGCTCATCTGTATCGTGACGATAAAATCAAGCCATGCCATGCTATGATAAATTATAACGACGCCGAGTATAAATCCTTAAATATAATAGTGAACCCTTATGAAGTTTTCTAAAAAAAATTATATTTAGACAATTTCATTGAAAAATTGTGTAAGCTATAACAAAAAAAATATTTGTTATACTTAGGTATATTATATCAAAAATTTGTTGTGACCGATGTGTTATTTATGGAACTGACAAACTTACACAAGTACAAACGAGTTTTTCAACCGACTTCAAAAAAAGAAGATTCTCAATTCGGTCACATTTTTTATCATGTTTGTTAACTCATAACTCCATTCGTTCTAAACCGATTTTATAACTTCTTTTTTTATCTATAAGGATATACACAATACATCTGTACTTACAGTTGGGTCCCATAGAAATTTTTATCAAAATTGGTAGTTTTTAAATCAAAATCCCTTGTTTTGTCGCAATTGAACTTTGCTATTTTATTTTATGAGACACAATCTTTAATTACTATTAAATTCAAAAAGGAGGAAGTATAAATTATATTCTATTTAAACATAAATTCCTAATTCTCATTTCTAATTCCTTCAGGTAGTTTCATTAATGTAATTATTTAAGTATTTGTTTTTAACAAAACAAATAAAAATAATAAAATATAGTAACTTTCTAATAAAAAACTTATTGTTTTATAAATAGACTTAGTACTTCATATACTAATTAAAATGTTAAAAATAAAAGAAAATAACAGACTGTGAAGGATAGCTAACGATTATTAGAAACATAATTACCTCTAACTGCATATAAAAAAAAAACAAATTTGCCCAAAACTTGTTAAAAGTTTGTTATTTAAAAATACATAAATATGAGAAGATACCTATTTTATATTAAACAATATTCTCATGCATAATCACCTACTTAAGTGACTTCACATCATCAGTTTACTATAAACATCATCATTATGGGCATGTGACAGATAAGGCATTAAAATTATAAAAAAAAAATACTAAGACAACTTATGGAATGAACAAAATATTTGATAATCAGAAGGTGTAAATTAAAAATATGTTTGAAATCGATGCCAATTTAACATGATTATTACATAAACTAGTTATATCCCGTGACTTTACCCACATGAATCAGTAATACATAAAGTATCCTATATTATCATTTATCCGTCGTTAGAAATTTTTAAATTCAGAACTATTATTGAAGTTTAAGGGATAGTATCTGCGGTCCTCATTATTATGTTGGATTCGACTTCAAATATTTCACTGAATAATGTTATTTTATAGTACCTACAAACTGCCAAACTCTCAACTGTCATTTACAATATCATACAGCAATAGCACCATGCTACAATGCATTGAATGTGATACCTGTTATAGTATTATAAAATTTTAATGAATTTCTATCGTTCTGTTATTATTTTCATCATTAAAACACAGTACTCATACATTGAACAATGTCTAACCTGTTTCATCGACACTTTACTAACAAAACCTTTTTAATCCTCAGATCGTGGGAATTAGAGAAGACATCTCCTCATCATCATCCGTCCATAGTGTTGACGTCCTCCTCTTCTCCGATCTGCAAAATCGCCTTCTGGATCATCCTCTTGAGTTTCTTTCTGGACTCGTCGGAGCGAAGAGTACGCAACTCCGATGCTACAAAGTCTCCAAATATCTAAGAAATAAAACGGAGTTGTAGGAATATGGAATATTGTCCAAATACACTCTCCTTACGATGGTAATGGATTTTATGGCACAAACGAAGATAAGACAACAATAATGATAACTTTTTATTAAATGATGTTAACTAATGATATTTTATATACTTAAAGAAAATAAATTAAAAAAAAAGAATTAATTAAATAATATGACAGACACCACAATCAAAATTATAATTTGATTAAAAATACATATATAATAAACTAACCTGACATTCATCCGCATTGACTCCAGGCCGAATCCTTGGAACGGGCTCCTCTGGCCACATCATGGGATGAGCGCTGGGCGGGAGCGGCGGAGGTGCCGATGCAGCTACCCTGGACTGCTTACCGACTGACCCGATCTTCAACAACGTGGGATTGGAGTCAGACCTGTTTAACGCCCTCGCTGCAGCACCAAATTCCTCTTCCTCGTCCGCTTGAAACTCCGCCAGCTGAATTGGGATATTGATATTAAAATTTCCAAAATTAAAAAAAAAAACTATTTTCCTAATTAAATTAATTAAAATTAGGTTTCTATTTTTTACTATAATGCAATTTTATTCTTAAAAGTTTCTAAATACACATTATAATTTAACTGTAAACTATTCTCAATTAAAAAACACATAAGCTAATCAAGTTATTCTTACAGTTAAGTTACAATGCAATTATTTATTTTTATATATTTATTAAATCGTTGATATAAATAATAAATCACTTATATCAATTGAAAAATTTTAATGCTATGATGAAATGTATCAAATCTTTTTATATATAAAATATAAGAAAAAAACGCAATATCTTCCGTTAACGCGTCATTTGTTTTCTCATTATCAAATGAACATGTGATGTAAAATCATCACATGTTCGTATCTCCATGATATTATGATTATTTCGTGGTGTTTGTTTTTTATACACGCAAATAAAACAAATGCCAAATTTGAAATAGCTTTAACAATATCTTTATAAGTAAGAACATAAGACTTACAACCGATATTTATAAGTAAAATATTGTATATAATAAGTAACAGTTTATAGGCTTTTATACCAAATTCTCAGATCCGGCAGTTGTTAATGAATCGCTTATAGTATCTTCTTCGAACTTCATTATAAGTGAATTCAGAACCGCACCACCGGAACTCTCCGGTATTTCGATTTCGCATTCTGATGGTATTTCTTCGTCTGACAACTCCGAATTCACCTCTTCATTGGCTGCTTTTTTTGCCGCCCTACGCTTTCGTTCATATTCCCTCCACTTTTTCCTTTGTATTCTCTTCTGTGCTGGTGTCATCTCGTTTATTAATAATTTTTTCTTTTCCGCTCTCTGCTTTAAATATTTTTGTCTGTCCTTTATTTTTTGTAGTTCATATCTGTGCGGATCGCTCTTTATTAATGCATATCTTTTCCGTTCGGCTAATCGTTTTTTAAGTAATCTCTCTTCATCTCTTTGTTTTATTTTTCGATACATTCTTGAATGTCTGAATAATGTAAATCATTCTTTTATTAAATGACAAATATTTGTATTAATTAATTATAATAAATATGTGGCATACATTGAAATTGCTAGCTTTAATTTTAACTTGATTCAATGTAAAGTAAAATGGCAGTATCATTACATCATTTCAGCCGTTACCACGTCATATGTCCACTGCTGTATCTCCCCCATAAGTTGCCAGTAGTTGCTACACTTGGCAAGCGAGTTGGTAACCGCAATTAAGCTTTGGTTGATGTTTAAAATGGCAGTATATATTTTAGAAATTAATAATTTGCTATCAATTAGTTTTTCGAAGTTTCTTACGAGGTTTATTTATTTTCATAGATATTATCGACAAAAAGAATTAATAAAATTAATTCTTAACAAAGAAAATTCAAAACACTTTTTATATGCATACCAAAATTATTATTATTATGAAATCTGATGTTGATGTCACAAAACCTCAAATTACTACTTGCTAACAGGTTTTTTTTAATGGATCATAATGAAATGGTAACCCCACCTGCGTCAACGGTATACGCTGGTGCCCACCAGTGAAAGATGATAGGTGAGGATAAAAGGGTAAGTCAGTTAGCCCACCATGGTGAATACACCTGGAATTCAGCACGATGGTTTCCATGAGGAACCACGTGGAGATTACCTTGATAGGGTATATTGCTATCAATGAAACTGATAGTCTCTTTTTTTTAATGAATGATAATGGAATAGAATGGAAATAACCCCGCCTGCGTCAACGGTATACGCTGACGGAGCACCAGTGCGGGATAATAGGTGAGAATGAAGCAGGCCAGTTAGCCCACCGTGAAAAATTTACTAATGAATCAATCACCATGATTTCCGGGGGGAACCGCGAGGAGGTCAACCTGTGAGGGTGTATTGCTATTGGTAATTGCTAATAGGGTTGCTAATCCCCATTACTAATAACCCCTTTTCGCCCCTGAAACTAATAGTCCGCATTACTAACAATCCCCCCCCCCCCACTTGCACCACTATAGATTAAGAATAATACCTCATAACATTAGTCGTATTGAGGCGTTCTTAGGTTGTGACGTTATACCAGTGGCATTTCGGTCTTATAGAACTTTTAGTTATCTGAATAAAAGATTAATTTAGAATACCTAAATAAATACAGGCCTATAGACGCAATGTGCATTATAAAAAAATTAAATGCACCTACGTACATTTTGCCTTAACAAAATTTGAATTAGGTACGTCAGGGAACGAATGATAATCATATATAAACAAGAGCGTTGATTAAGATGGTAGCTGTCATAAAGCAGAGCATAAACTACACACAGATGTGCCAGGAACACGCTACGCACACACAAACAACGTGCGGTAGATAATAAATATTCAAGGTCATTACATTAGTGTAACTACATATCAACACATACCAATAAATACTATCGTATAGATATTTAAGAAAACATAAAACTCACATACCTGTGTTTATTTCAGTCCACTGTTATGAAATTTTTAGTTGTAAAACACGTCACTCCACTCGCCTGGCATTCACGTGACTGACATTACCTTGGCTGACACTTTAAACGGACAAACGCGCAAGAATTTTTTCTCTGGCTCACCTGGCCGCGTTTAATAAAGTGGTGGTTTATTTAAAAAAATCTTCGTTTAAAAATAAAAACTTATTATTACATAAAATACCAATCTTCATGTTTCATATCGTTAATTGAAAATAATTACACAAAACAATAAACGTACCGCTAAATTAACTCCATCGACTTGATCGAAGGGATCGCTAGAGGGCGTTCGCATAAGGAACGAGAGAGCGTCGAAATACTCCCAGCCGCTCCCCCCCTGCAAACTTCCTTCCCCTGTGAATGACGTCGTTTGCCGCCGTTTTATTTTTCTTATTTCATTGTTCAATTGCGTTCTCAAATTGTGGATTTTTCTAGTTATCTCCTCGACAGTGGTATTAAACATTTTAGCCAAATATTCATGCTTAGCATATCTCGCATTCCGATCTTTATTTTGTGGGTGTTTAGGATCCCACAGCTCTTTGCAATCATTCTCTAATGTTTCTATAAGTTTCATCGTATTTTCTGTATTCCATAACATTTTAAAATTAGCTTCCTTCCTCGTTTCAATTTCGGGCTCCTCTTCTTTTATTTTTGGCCAGTACATTTCGCAAGAGTTTGAATTATTTGAATTTGTATCCATTTTGTCAAAAAAAAAATTACGTTATACTGTCGAAACCGCTCTAGCGAGACTGCGGGGCAGGGGCCGAGAGCTGCGAAACCGGTGTCTGGTGGAGCGGCAACAGTGTACCGTGTCACAATACAAGCGTGGGGCGCGACGTTGCCACACCGAACGTTATGATAGCGCGTGTACTGCGTCGCAATACGCTAACTTCAAGGCGTTAAAAAGACGTAAATAAGCGAACCATATAATCACATTAAGTCTCATTAGCAAGAGGTTGCATTAACAAAGGAAGCTTTGTGTGGCTATAGAGAGGGTATACTTACCATGACTACCAACGACTGCATAAGTAGGACGATTAATTCATTAGTTTATAAATTTTTACAGACATGTTATTTAGGAAAGTGACTCGGTAGTGTAGTAAAATTTTAATCATAAAACAAAAATATTCCTAAAATAAATAGGAATTTAGTACAGTCGACGTCAAAACTCATGCATTTTAAATTAAAACAGAACATTTAATTAGATATTTAGATAGTTTCTAGTTTATTCAAGTAATATTGCCCTTTAACATTATGGAATTATCTAATTATATTATATTTAGTTATCGACAATTTATTATCTATATTAATAATAATATTATCCATTCCATACACGTGGTTAGAATTTTTTAATGAATGAAAATGAAATGTAAATAAATATCCTCGCCTGTACTATCGGTACAAGTTGGCGAGACACCAGTAGGAGGTGATGGGTGATTCATCCTCACCCATCAGATCAGTTGGCCCATCGTGATAAATTTAAGAAGACTAACCACGAAAACCACGTTGAGGTCATCCTAATAGGGTGCATTTAGACCTCCATTACTAACGATCCATTTCCCCACGTGGTAATATTTGTATACTTCGACGCTATATTATTGTGAAATTTTAAAGCCAATTTTCGGCATTTTTTCTTTATTTTTATAGTAATTTAATTGTAGGTCAACTTTTCAACGGACTTAAAAAATGGAGGAAATTCTTTATTCGGGTTTATTTTTGTATGTTTGTTCCCGCATAACTCCATCATTTATAAACCGAATGGAGATTTTTCTTTTTATCCTATTCAGATTGGGTCCATAAAAATTTTATAGGAGTCAGTTCTTTAGTAATAGTTTTTAAAACAAAATTGCGGTTCTTGATATTTTATTCTATTTAATTATAGTATTGAGTTAAATATGGGTCAAAATATATACATATATATCTCCCAAAAATTATTTTCTTCTAAATCGATTATTGTATATAAAATTTACTCGACTAAACTTTATATTATCGCGTAAAATAATATAATTTAAGATTGTGTTCAACTAAACACCGACTATAATTATAGCAAAACAAGTTAAATTAAATTACTAAACCGATTATGATAAAATTTCTATGAAACCGATCTATAAGTCAATCCTTTCAGTTAAAAAATAGAATTTTTCAATTCTGTTTATAACTGACGGAGTTATGAGAAAACAATAAAAAAAAATACAACCGAACTGAGAACCTCTTTCTTTTTGAAAAGTGCTAACATTATTGATAAACATGGATTTTTTTATTAGTAAATGACAATAAAATTATTAAAATCAGGGGTAGATGGATAACTTTTTTATGAATTTGTCGTTGATGCTTGTCGAAACGTTAAGATCTATAAATTTTGTTTTTATAAAGAAAAAAATTTAATCATCATAAAAATCATTCAATAAAGTTATAATTTATCGTTAAATAAACACTGGACACTAATTCTCAAAATATATGTAATGATATACCTAATCGAATCCAGAATCATTTACCTTGAGCTTAAATCATTTGTCTACATTTTGAAAACCCCTGACTAAAAACTGGAAGTTTACATACATACATATATAGATATCTGTCACGCCTGTTTCCCATTAGGGTAGGCAGAAACAATGGAACGCCAAATGCTTCGATTCAAACAGATTTCTTTCGCTTCCTATACATTCATCAATCATTTTAATTTGACCTTTCTTCAGCACGTCGCATATTTGGTCAACATAGATCCGTCTCGAGCGACCCCTACCCACTTTTCCATTCATTCATGAACGATAAATCTCTTTCGTAATCTTTCATTCATCCATTCTTTACAAATAGCCAAACCAATACGACATCTCCATCCAAAGGTTGCCTGGAAGAGATCGCTTTTGGCGATAGGGTCGCCCATTGTTTTCTTGTTGTGATTATTTCTTGTAATTGTTTATATCTATAATAACTATTGTAATATTTTGGAGGAAACAATAAAGTGTATCTATCTATCTATCGTTCCTTTTTATTTTTTTCACTACATCATCTTTCAGTCCACACTTCGTACTATCCACATAGTGTTAGCATCTTTACATTTAATATACCAATATTTTATTATATTTGTATCATAATATAACTGTTGTCAAGTGCCACCGTTGCTGATTTGACCTAACTTTAAAATGGTGAATTGTCATTTCCGGAATAATTAATTACCCGCCAAAAATAGTCAACATAAAAACTAGAAGTAACGACCAACAGTTGACAGTTGTTGATTGAGTATTGACCAGTAAAGACGTATTATATAATTTAATAAGTCGCTTTAATACAAATGTATTTTAATTGCAAAGTTGTTGAACTGTTGATACATGAGTTGGATTCCCCTATAATGACACGAGTTTTATTTCATACACCCACGACCTTTTAAAATATAAGAGACAATATTTATATTGCAGTAGTGAAACTATGAATGAGTTATTATATTCTTAGATGCTTTAGACTACCTCATTTGCAAATTATTTACAACACCCACCCGCCGTCAACGAAAGAGAAAAATATATCTTGGCGTATCTAGTACACTGGAAATTTAATATTTAACATAAAAATATACTATAATATTATCAGTTAAATATTAAATAATAATCTATCATCACATCACATATACATAATGCAGGCGGGATTAATTTTCATTGTTTTTTTTTCTCTTTAGGTCAGTACAGATTTTATTAATGGATGGGAATAGTAGCCTCCGCCTGCGCTAACGGGATACGCTGGCGGAGCACCAGTGAAGGATAGATAGATGAGAATGAAAACAGGTCAGTTAGCCCATCATGATGAATGACACAAGAATTAACCATGATAGTTTCCAGGGAAACCGCGTGGAGGTCGACCTAATAGAGTATATTGTTAGCAATAGAATTATCAAACCTCTATTACAAACAATCCCTTGCCCCCGCGCACATTCCATTGTCACTTTTCCTATCTCTCCTTGAATATAAGAGACAATTTATTATTTATTTATTTTTTTTTTTTCAATTAAGAGTTTTCTCTTGTCGGTGCAACTATTTCATGCACCTTCCAACAATTCATCTTCATCAACTCTTTATTGCACCATAAATAAAAATATACAATGACAAGTGAATAATTCTGATACCCCATAAATACAAATTGAAATATACACATAAAGGTACAAAAAGCGGTCTTATCGCTAGGGCAATCTCTTCGACGATTAAAGAGAACAGATAAAATATTGGCGCAAGAGTAATCTAATGATTTTTCGTACATAAAATACAAAAACCTGTAATGCAGTGAGTTATAGTGATATATGGTATTTAGTAATAATATTTTTGTTCAAAACAACAACACAGAATTGTCTTCTAGATATTAGACAAATACCTAGTCAATTATATAAATAATATCATAATAGTCTCTAAGAAATTGAACAATCTTACATCTAATTTCACGTAGGTACTTATTTCAAAATATATTCATAATTATTTGTTCATTACTATCTAGGGAATTGCCTATAGCTTACAAGTGAGCAATTAGGTGACAAATAAATACACGCCCTTTGTGAGACCGCTGTTGTTTACGACCTCTCTGTTAGGGTTGACACTATGTTAGTTCTTAATAAATTTTCTTCATATTTTTTTTATGTAAAATCCATAGGCCTGTCTATTTATTTTTCTAAAAACGACTAATGTTGTTTTTTTTTTTGTATTAGTCACTAAGTATATGCCTTATTTCCGCACCGATACATAGATAAAAAGATAAATTAATATATTATCTTTAATTATCAAAATTTTTGATATTTTTTTACATTATTTTAAATTTCGTAGAGCATTCTATTTTTTCTTGAAAATAATATATAGTTTGTGTTATTCACTGATAATGTAGCATTCTATAAGTAGATTTTTTTTATAATCGGTTATAATTTAGGAACTTGTCCATTACAAACATTCATACAAAAACTCATCTTTTCCTCTTTATAATATTAGTACAGATACAAATAATATTTATTCTTTTTTTAATTTAAATATATAAATTTTAAAGAGACTTTAAATTGAGCACAATTTCTATAATTTTAACAACTTTTAAAATAGTAATCTATATGCGCCCTCGGCAACCCTATGAACAGGTTTTACGTTGACGTATATTATCAAAATGAGACCTCACGCATGCGCGATGACGGCGCTTTGATCATCTCGAATTCCAACGTT